TAAAATTTATAATAAATTATATAATAATATTATAATTAAATATATAAATTATATTTAAAATAAATATACATAAATATTTTTAAAATATGAATTAGTTTTAGATTTATGATTAAATAATTTATATCCTAAAAAAATATTTTTTATTTATGAAAAAATAAGAAAAATATGAAAAATATATATTATATGAATAATTTTTTTAAATAAGATGGATAACTAATTTTGTAGTCACATAATTTGACCCAACTTATCTTTAATATAAGTTGTCTTTAAACTTCTAAGTATGCATCATTTGAGTGTATATATGTGTGTGTAATTCATATAAAATGTGAGTTTCAAATATATTTTTTAAAATTGGATATTTTATCTATGCATTAAAAACTTTAAATTTAACGGTTAGATCGTTGAAATTTATTGTATAATGAGTTATTGAACGAAGTAAATTTAGATAAATTTACTCTAAAAGTAAATAAATCCTTTCTCTTTCTTTCTCTCTCTCTCTCTCTATATATATATATATGTGTGTGTATGTATATATATATATTTATTTATTTATATACGTGTATGATAGAATACAAAATTGACTGAAAATCATAAATCCCCTTATGGAGTTACATAAATACCTTATATACATATATATTTTGCGTCGACTACATAATTGCGCACAAAATGACCCTATTCGTCAATCAAACATCTATACAACAATTTGTTATATCATGATAACGAAAACAAAATGGGTCACTTCTAGTATGACCATCCAACCACCATCCAAGACATCCTACTAAACTCTTCTACTTACATGCAAAGTATAATCGTTACAATTTCAATCACAAGAAAAAAAAAGGTAAGCTTATGAAAGAATTGACATAGAATAATAATAATAATTGCCAACATATACAACATAAATGATAGTAATTCATTTCACAACACAACTTCCACTTATCGTCAATGCAACATATACAACTTGCTACAAAATACAACTTAATAACTTCAAATCAGTCAACATACTCAACATAAACAACAATTAACAAACTAATGTATCATCACACGTATCAACTACGAATATCTCTTACAATAAAGATGAACAATCCAAGTGATTAGACCCTACCAAATCACAATGTCTGACCTATTACGATTAAACAAAGTATATACAACGTTAGATCTCTTAGAGTGCCAAATATACAATTTAATTTGATTTCTCAAGTTTCACCACTTAAATTTAGAAGTCTAATATTTCTGTCAGGGTAAAACAGTTGAGTATGAACCTACCACGACATTAACTTGCATCACTAAGCCTCCTATGAGATTAGTCTACTAATTACCCTTCAAATACCACGCCCTTCCAATAATTAGTTAGGGACTAAGCCCTTGATTTTATATCTTACTCGGTTGGTCACTTCAACTATAATATGGATCAACCACACCTCCATATTGCTCCACATAAATCCTAGAGGGAACAATTTAAATAACACATCTTTCTTCTAGTCTTTGTGTGTCTCAATTAAGACTGTATCTTTACCACATGTTTAATAGTTGAACAACTGAATCAATTATAACATCATACAACTTTGTAAACTTAACCAATTTTTAGCTTACAACTTCAGAACATAACATGACTATACATCATCTCAATTCAATGCATAATGAACCTTCCTCATACAACATTCATCACATAAACAAATAATCACTCTTCAATTATCAAATCAACTTGAACATCACATTCGAATCATATAACTCATGCCTAACACTATTCCTATAGCATTTTGTGTTATTGAGGGAGAAGGTTTTTTGTCTCGCCTATGCCCGATGTCGACCTTCCTATACTCAACACAAATTAGGTAGAGAGCCTCTAATTCTCTCATGCTTGGCGTGATAAAACTCCATGCCTGGCCTTAAGTAGGCGGAGGATCTTTGTTTGACTCACGTCTAATATTACTTCATTGACACCCATCGCTAACTCATGTAGAGATAATTTTTTTATTCACTTTTGACGTCATTCAAAGCCACATTCGACATGACAGAGTTAGAGGTTTTTCCCTCTCCTCATGTCCAATGCTATTAATTTTGTGCTTGACATAATGAGACAGAGACCCCTGATTTGATTCACACCCGGTGCATGAAGGCATACCTAACGTGATGAGGATTTTTGCACTTGGTAGACTTTCATTTTGACTCAATCCACTTGAAATCCAACAACTAACCAACATGTAACATAAAATTCAACATTCATATATTGTAAACAACTCAAAATTAATCCAACACACAACATGCAATCATCACATTTTAAAAATCATCAATTTCACCCACATGCAACTCCAAGCACCAAAACTTAACAACTCATCATCATCTCCCTTCTAAATTTAATCTAAAATAGCTAACAATGGAAGAATTTAACAACAAACATCAATTACAACTAAAGAATCAACAAGTCACAAACTTTTCTTACTTCTAGTCGATCAACCGAGAAGAGACGAGGAAGGAGAAAAGAGTTTCACACAACTTCAACTTAAAATTCTTGTTTCAAGAGCTCAAATCTCCAACTGCATAAAACATTAACTCATAAGATTCACGTCTTAAGAAAATATGATTTACCTTTCTTTCTTCTGAACCAACTTAACATCTAACCTAAGCTACTTTGACCAACTTAACTTTCAGGATCCCTAAACCCCAGAATCATAAAATAATAACACAATAATGTTTAATCATATATAACATATAATTAAATTAAAACACTTAAAACATACAGTGTTATAATATCCAAATTTTATTTATCAACTCAAATATATAATTGAGGTCAGAAAAAAATAGCGAGAGCAAAAAAAAAAGTCTAATATATTCACAAAAGAAAAATATTATAAGTTTTTACAAAATATATAATCTCATGAAAAAAATATAAAATACCAAAATTTTCATAAATTACGATTTCCATATATGCATTTTTACATTTTTTAAATAGTTTATGATTTTTAATTATCAACACTATAAAAAATATCTTTCTACTACATAACTAAACAATTATTCAACATTTATTTTATTTTTCACAAAACTCATTGCAAAAAAAAACATTTTTTTTACACCGGCAAAGAAACATTTTAAAACTATTGCAGTTATTAATCATATTACACCCTCAAGTGGTTGCGTTAGCTAACCTACTTTGGTGGCTTTGGAGGTTTCAGAATAATATAACATTTCTCGGTGGTAAATGATCCCTTTCTTACCTGTATCGTCGGATTGAAGGCCCAGATGTAGAATTAGATTTATCTTGCCAATCGTAAATTGTGGCAGGTAAACATCCAATGGAGTCTCCCGGAACCATTTTGGGTTAAGTTAAATGTGGATGACAGTTTAGTTCCCCAGCTTAATGCTATGGGGCCTGGTGGTGTTTTGCGAAATTTAGTAGGGGAGTGGAAACTTGGGTTTGCAGTTGGCTTCCAGGCGGCGACTCCTTCCGGGCGAAGCTTCTAGCAGTTGTTAAAGGCCTTGAGCTTTGTTGGAAGGAGGGGTGTAAGAAGGTTATCTGCGAATCCGATTGTCTGTGTGTTATCAAAACAGCTAAGAGTGTAGGGAGGGAGGCTCAACTTAGACATAAATACGACGATATTATTAGGAGGTTGGCAGATCAATGTTCATGGGCTTAGGAGATGGAGTTTGTTTGTATCCCTTGCGAGATCAACCATGTGTCCCATTCTCTAGCAGGGTCTAACATTTGAACTCATGTTTCATGTAAGAGTCCTCCAAATTTTATTTTATTCGCTTTAGGGGTTGATTCTATGTCATCCCGATTCTATTGTATTTTGCCTTTTATTTTTCCTAATGATAAAAAAAAAAATCTATCGCAGTTATCACATGCAAAATAAAAACTAATATCTACATGTATCATTAGATGTACTATGTATTTTATTATTTTAACCACCATTCAGAAAGATTAATAACCTTATTTCTCTTCGAAAATTAATCTTAAGACTCTACATCATTTATTAAAGTTTCAATTTAACTATCAAGCCTCATAAATTCCTCAGCGAATAGTTAAAATATAGTCTAACAAATAAACTTTTTCTAATCCTATAAACAACAACAATTTCCTTGTTTTTTCTTTCACTATTTGAGAGATTGGGACCGTGTCAAAGTACGTGTTTACGTTATCATGTATGTTTAGTATAAAAGGATAAAAAACGATAAAATTTAGAAAGATAAAATGATAAAAATACCTTTTTATAATTTTTCACCTTCACTTATAAAAGAATATCTCATGCGGGGCAACATCTACAATTTTATGGTGGCAAAATAATATATTTATGTAAAAAAAAAAATTTATTATGAAGACAGTTGTCTCCATTCGCTAGTACTTTCATTTGTTGTGATCATATTTTAACGATCAAATAGGTTAATATACATGAATTAAGAAATATTTATATAGATAAATTTATATCATTATCTAAAATTTATTATCATGTTTTTCAAGTAATAGGTATAAAATTGATGAAAAAATGCCTACTATTTTCACCCCTGTATAGTGCATATAATAAGATCATTTTTATCATATTGTTTTTCCCTTTCATAAAGCTATTTTTTATTTGTCTATTGTATTAATTATTTTTTCCTCCTAAAATATTCTTCTTAAT